GATATATATATATATATATATATATATATTCCTAAGGTTATTAATTTGATTCAAAGAGTAGAATGCATGTTGGTGCTTAAAATGTAATACGAAATGATGACATGATTAAATTATCAGAAATTAATTTTATCTGTTGAGAAAATAAAAAGTTTGGAAAGCTTATCATGTGAAGAGTTGAGAGTACAGGCTTGGCACTCTTTAAAGTAGAAATATAAAAGGGATTTGAAAAAATAAAAACTGGTCAGGCACTTTTTTTTGTTCTTTTTTTACCTCTTTCACCTTCCTGCTATAGGTGTTGAGTTGTTTACTATTTTAGCCATTTCCAGGAAAAGGCACAGAGGACCAGATTATTTTCAGAGGGAGCTGAGGGTAAGGTGGGGAAAAGTTATGCAAAATTATTGGCCCAGAATCCAAAACTTGATCTTAAAAGCCTAAAAAAAAGTCAGGAAGAATTTGTTTCCAATCCTAACATATTTGTTGCTAATTTGGCTAAAAGCCCTCAGGTAAGTGTTTAATTATCTATTTAATACCAGAGATCTGTTCTCAGCGCAAAGGCTTGCTGCCTGAAGGGAAGGAAAGGGCCCCCTAAATGGTTCTTAAGAGCCATTTGCTACCTGACCTAGACTCTAAAACATCTCATTTTCCTTTTCCAAGGTGGTAGAAAATATTTCCAAGTGGAAACTTGTTATAATTGGATTTCCTAATGAGTCCTATATAGGGAAGAGCTGGGTCAAGTGGAAGCCAGAGCAGAGTCGTCCAGCATGCAGACCTACCTGCTGTGTCTGTTGTCTCTGGATGGCTCTCACTTTGGGAACGGGGCTTTCTCTGGATGAAGAGGACTGCTGCCGGGACCGGCTGCCGTTCTGCACAGGCTCGGCCACCAGGGCTGCGGAGGCCACCGACATGCTCCCGGTGCTACGCAGGGAAGCACTATGAGGCAGGGATGGTGGGGCTTTGGCTCGGGCACCTAGCCCAACCTGGTCCATTTTTCGGAGCGGGGCTTGTCCAGTACTATTTTGCCGAGGAAGGGCAAGAGGTATATGTCTGTCCGGCACAGTGTGCCGCCTGGAGAAGTCGTCACTCTGAGTGCTCCTTTTGGTGAAATCTTCCATGCTGCTGTTGCTAGGTCCACTGAGTTTGAAGTCTTCACTGTTACTTTGGCTTCTGGAACTGGCAGTGCTTAGGTTCTCCAAACTGGAATCTACAGAGGCCTTTGGCATTGCTGGGATTGGGTTATTGAGGTGATAGACTGGGTTCTGGAATGACAAGGGCTGGAGGCTGCCCGGTTGGTTCAAGGCGGGGTGCAGGGGCCTCCTCACTTGGGGTGCACTCTGGGGAGTGCTTTGGGTTTCCCGAAGCTGTTTGATGCTGGCCACCTGGGTTATGGAAAGCTGGCTCCCAGTCAAACGCATAGGCACATCAAGCATGACAGATGCGTGTTCCACTTGAACAGCATGAGTGTCCTGCAGGTCCATGAGAGAGATGCTCCGACCGTTGGGAAGGCTACTTTCCTTTTCATCCTTTTCAGAATAACTCATGCTCTGGGAGGAGGCTTGCTGAACCAGCAATAACGTTTTCCCTCTGAAATAGCTATCTGTGTTGTCCTGGCTTGGAGATTTTAATTTATGCAAATCACTGTGGAAAAGAAAAGGATCACTGATTACTCCTGAGGCAAATTCAATGAAGATACAACTCCTCCACTGAGGCAGCATATGAACTTTTCTGAAGGTTTGCAAATTCAACACGGACACTTACATGTCTTTCTAAACTCAGATGTCATCATCATAACGCTCGGAGTAAAATCCATTTTTTTTTTAAATTTTTTTTATTATTTTTTATTATTTTGTGTGCGTGTACCGTCAAATCAGATCTGACTGGTACAAGAGGATATTGCGCCTCCTTCTCCGGCAGAGCATCTGGTGGATTCGAACCGTGTTTCTCTGGGATTGCAGTGCAGCTTCTTGCCACTAGGCCACCAGAGCTCCCCTAAAAGCCATTTTTAGATTTCCCAAAAGGAAAAGAACAACACTTTCCTACACCACCCCAACACTGACTTTAGTTTTTACTAGAATTCCAATAATGTCTACTTAGATTTTAAATCTTTCCAAAATGTTCCACTTCATCCACTTAATAGGTAATAAACCTTCAAAAGGAGAAGCTGTATGTGAACCATTAAAGAGCTCCTGCTAAAGGCATCTTATTGTATGTGGTGGTCATTATGTGCCCTTGAATGAGACCTGACTCACAGCTGATGCTCCAGAGGGTTTTCAGACACAATAAACTGCATGGAAGAAGATAGTCCATTTTCCTCCCATGGAGCAGTTGGTGGATTCGAACCACATGCCTTTTGGTTGGCAGTGCAGCTCCTTACCACTAGGCCACCAGAGTTCCCTGCTAAAGGCCTTAGTCTTACCAATTCAGAAAATAAAATTTAAGCATCAATTTTGTACCTCGTTTGCCCAGCTCACGTAGCTAGCCATAAAACAATTTAAACCAAGGTTCTCCAGCATTTTAAATGTACTGGAAAACATTAATTTCACAAAGCTCTGAATCTTTTATTGAGATATGGATTTATGTTTCTAGAACACATTACAAATACATATTTTAAAAAATATATATTACAAAGATCTTGGGTATTGTTATGACAAACACTTGCATTTATTGAAGGTTAAATGTGTCTTTCTTAATTACTCATATGACTTTAAGGAGGGAAGTGGAACACACAAGTTAAACAGATTTCTGTGAAATTTCTAAACATTCTCTCTGTGAGGTTGGAGATCAAATGATTTCTTTCCTACCTGTCAGTGGGGTCTTCAAATATTTTCTGCAGCCCAGAAGAGATGCTTCCACTGACATTTGGACTGGAGTTATGTTCAGTGAACCGTCTCAATTGTTGCTGTATTGGTGTAGGATTAGTCAGGGACTTGGTAATATCAGCAAGAACACGAGGGAGGGGTCCCAATTTTGCCACGGTTGCCTGTAGGAAGGAATTTTCACCCTAATTGGATAATAAGCATTGTGACATCCACCACAGATTACGTTTGGACACGATGCCCATTGATGAAGGGGTGGAGGTTGGAGGGAAGGGTAGGTATTGCATATGGGAGTGGCAGGTTCATAATGCATTGTTATGGAGCAGCGGAACCATGGCGTCGAGATGAATGGAGGAGGCGAAACAAGATGCGGCAGACATTGAGGAAAGAAAGAAATAGAAATTAGGATTATGCAAATAAAAATTTAAAAAAACCACACATGCTCAATACAACCAAACTACTGCCATTCCAACTTAAAAACAGGCATGCAAAGCAACTAACTCTTTGGGAGGAGGCTAGTAGATCAAGGTGGGGAAGGGCAGGGGAGGAACCAAACACCTTCTAACCAAAAGGAAGTTAAACACCAGAGAATTAGCTAGTGTGATGAGACTTCCAAGGCAAAGGGATCACGTGAGAAAAGGAATGCATGCTAACATACAAGGACGTGCGTTTGGGGTCCAGAGCACTGCAGGGCACACAGTAGAAACTGCATTTGCAATCCCATTTCATCTTGGGAACCCTGACTGACCCACTGCTAACTAGTTGTACATGAGTAAGACTTTTTTTTTTAAAAAAAAACCAAAGCAATCCCAAACCAAAACCCAAATCAAGTGTATTTTCTCTAAGTGCTATACCCAGTTGCATTTCGGGTTCCCAGGACCAAACAGAAATAAAAATGAGTATATGCATTTACATAGTAAAGCCTGTTAAAAAGACCTTGAATCTGAGTAAATCAAACTTATTTAACAGGATATTTACTCCTCCATCTGACTTTTCAATACTTTATCAATTTCAAATATTTTCTTTTCTTTAGGGAATACTTATTCTCAAGAAAATTAGGGGATCCCTCATGGTTAAGCAGTAGTTATGCAGTTTTACATGGCTGCCTTTGGGTTTCCTTCATCAATAATTAAATCGTCCTACTCTGTTCAAATGGGGACAGATGGCCTCAGAAGAATTTATGTCCTTGTATCTTGAGCTACAACCAATATCTGGAGAATTTACATGCAGTATAGTTGCAAACTTAAATCCAGCTAGCATTTCTAAGCAAGAAGGGACCTTAGAGAGTTTTGTACATTGCTTTACAACTGTTTTAAGCACTCTTGGCCATCCTACCACATTTAAAGTTTCCTTAGTAATCTCTGTTAAAAGACTTTACTTCCTTTCCCACATTTTACTGGTATGACATTTTTAAGGATAATAGGAAAATGAAGGAAAAGAAATGCACAAATCTGTATTAATGAAAATTAACTTTGTCTTTTTAAGTTATTCTAGCATACCACCACAAATGTTTATAAAGTACCTGCAGCAAACAAACAAAAAACATCAAATAATTATCATAATAAACCTAAACCAAAGTCTATTTGACAGTTTCCTCCTTCAAAACATACTCTTAAAAACAAAAACAAAAACAAACAAAAAACCACATACTCTTCTCTGAAAGAGTGCGGAAGAAAAAAAAATTGTCATGAGGGGGCTTATAATAAAATTCTTGTGTGTATAATCAGAAAAGGAATGATTAAAAATGCTGTTTTCTGTATTCTTAATTCATAATCACAGAAAAAGAACCACCAGGATTTTCACATCCCAGGTGACTGTAATAAAACAATTATAGCAACCCGCTGACTTGCCGTAAGAAAAGATCTCATGGGTAAAACTACTCAAACACAATAGTCTCCATATTTCTCTGCATTTTGGTTAGAAATTACTATATGTAATATAATTTTATATTTAATGAAAGCTTCTATGTGAGTCTTTTTTGAAATTTTTTTAAATTGGATAATTTCTTTTTTCTTTCTTGTTGTGTTGTTGTGTACCGTCAGATTGGATCCAACTGGCACAGGAGGAGATTGCCCCTCTTTCTCCAGTAGAGCATCTTGTTGATTTGAATAATGTGTCTTTGGGATTGCAAATCAGTTTCTTCCCACTAGGCCATCAGAGTTCCTCTATGTAAATACATGTGCGGAGTGTGTGTAAAATTTCAAATTTATAGGCATACAGTCTTTAATTCAGGTGATTATTAAAAATATCTATTAGTAATTTCATGGTTTTTGAGGATTCCATTGTTTGTGTATCACCTATCTTGCCCAGAAAAAAACCCCACAAAAAACCAAACCAACCAACACTGTTTTTCCAGACTTCACGGGCAAAAAGTTGTCTTCACTGAACAAAAGGGAGAATGCTCTCACTACAGATAAGTGACAGAATGCAGGTACATTAAGGGTTGTCCATCTTTCATCAGCTTTCTTCCAGCCTTTACCTTATCAAGTTGGGAAACTACTTCCCACAGTAAGGAATGCAAAACAGAAAGCTCTCGGCCTAGATCAATGTAACCATCAAAGCCGGGAGTGTTAGAGATGGTGTCTGGGTTAGAGATCTCCAAAAGAAAGCGCTTCATTCCACTCCACTCATGTTCTAAAAAATCATTCATGAACGCCATGTACTCCTCCTTGTTACCAAACCTGAAGCAGAGGGATAGAAAATGAAAAACAACCTATTTAATAAAAAGAGACGTGAGCATTTGAATTGACTTAAATAGGGTCACATTTTTTTAAAGGGGTTGATTATCTAATGATAAAATATACTTTCTTACTATCACTTTAATTCTAAAATTTTTTTAGTATTTTCTGTCTCTAAAGAATAAAGCAGAATCTTTTTTATCTAGTAGTTAAAGGTTTTTAGTCTTTACCTACCTAGTGCTCAGCAGTATAAATCTCCCATTTTGCTAAGTTTCTTTAAAGTTGTCTAAATATATCATACTCTCTTCCTTCTCCAAGTCTCTGTTCATGTTATTTATATCCACTACAGAGGAATGTCTTGTCTTTTTTGCCTATCTAGACTCTAGGTATCATTAAAACTTTGCTTAAGCCAATAAAATCTATTGAAAAAAGAAAATAATTTTTACCAGAATTAGCTCAAATATAGGTGTATGGGTGATATATATGAGAGAGTGAGTTGTTATTGTGTGCTATCAAGTCGGAATCGACCCATAGCTGACCCTCCATCAGGTTCTCAGAGAGTAAATCTCACGGGAGGAGACTGTCCATCCTTCCATGGAGCAGCTGGTGGCTTCAAATCATTAATATGTGATGTGTGGGTGAGCTCTGGTGGCCTAGTGGTAGGAAACTGCACTGCAATCCCAGAGGTGTGCGGTTCAAATCCACCAGATACTCTGCTGAAGAAGGAGGAACAATCACCTCCTGTACCAGTCAGATCCAATTTGACGGTACACACATAAAAAGAATAAATAAATAAAAATAAAAAAAAATGTGTTGTGTGTGTGTGTGTGTACAAACATACATGTATGTTTGTGTGAAATACATCTATATGTGTACATGTATTGTTTATTTACAGGTGTATACATAAATATATATAGTTGTATGCTGTCAAGTAGAAGCTGACCAACATGTGACCCTTCAGTGGGTTTTCAGAGGCAGTATCTCATGGGAGGAGATTGTCCATCCTTTTCCCACAGATCAGTGAGTGGATTTGAACACATGCTTTTGGGATGCAGTGTAGCTTCTTACTACTATGCCACCAGAGCTCCCCTTATACAAAGCATATTTTTTTATACAAGGTATAAAAAGTTGAAGTAGTTTACTTCCAAAAAGGGACAATTTTACACGAGAAAATAATCTCATTGAATGTTATCTTTTCTTCAGTACACTGCTCAGTCAGTCACTGCTGGTGAGCTGGAATTAACTCACACTTGCCTCTCCAGCAGGCCTTCAGTGGCTGTACACAGCACTGGAGAGGAGGGCCCATCTTTCACCCATGGTGCAGCAGGTGGATTAGAATGACCAGAAAGGGCATCACCTTAGGGTTAGCTGTGCAACTCTCTATCCACTATGCCAAATACATTGCTAATAAGAGCTTATAAACCTCCATATTATAGAAATCAACAACAATTATACACACCTGTGTGATCAATTTTACATGTGCAGATATTTCTTCCCAATCATTTCTTAAAACTACATTGTAAAAATCTTAAAAGTAATACATAGTTACTGAGGAGAAAATCTGAAGATGCTAAAAATGGGAAGATATGCTGAGAAACCTTATAGGGTAGGGTAGTTCTGCTCTGTCCTGTGAGCGTGCTATGGGCTAGAACTGACTAAACAGGGAGGTCTGCTGTGGGGTTTGTCTTCAGCAGAGCACACTGCCTCATCGTTTTTCCAAGAAGCAGCAGGTTGAGTCTGAACCACTTAAGCATGGTACAATCAAGGTTCCAAACATTGTAGTAGCTGCAAATACTCTATTGAATGCATATACTTAGGCTACGTAGTCATTTTCTGTAAAGTGACTCTTTTAAGTTTTTTCCCAATATTTGCTATTTTTAATAACGCTGAAAGAAAAATGTTCTCATATGAAGAGATGAACTTCTACTCTTACACAAATTTTAGCCCTTCTGTATTTTTCAAGTTAGCATTTCTTTATAAAGTGGTTATGGGCAGTGTCACTCACTTTGCAAAGTTGGCCAGGTTCTGGATGACCTTGGCAATAAGAGTTAGTGTTCGAGAGGTACGGTCATCAGGATACTCTTGCATCAGGTTGAAGAGACTGGGAGACATAATGGCTGGGCACAGGAACCGGAGAAACAACGAGGCACTAATGAGCCGCTCGCTGATGTCCTGCTTGCCCCGGGTCAAGCACTGCTGCTTCCAAGATGCAAACACTTCCTTCAGCTCACGTGGGAAAACACTGTGGGGGAGGGGAGATCAGAACTTGAACACAAGTACTATACCCAGAAAAGAACAAGCAATCCAACTCAAACCCAACATATCTCTGCTCTAGAGACAGGTTGTAAAACCTAGTGTGAAGAGCTATTTGATTCATGGTTTCACAGAAGGCCAAACAGCCAGATGGAGTCTGGAAACCAAACGTTACAGAGCCCAAGGATAAGTGTAAATTTAATTTAGCAAAATGGGAAAATGGCATGAGATTTCCTATGAAACCATACAGCTTAACAAAGCTCAAAATTTCAGTAGAAATCTTCCTAAATCTTACTCAGTGTTGGGTTGAAGCAATGATCAGAAATCATTGATTCAACTATTTAACAACAGTTAAGTATGTTAAAGAGGTAGAACAATACCTTTAGTAAGGAAGAATGAACTGCTAATATTCTGGGGAAAGGTTAGATTTAGATGTATCAATTCAGAGAGACTTCAGCTCACAACCAAGATTAACTTTAGACATGATTGTGTTAGGGAAGACTTTCATTTTCCTGCAAAGCCCTTCCTTTGGTTGGGAAGAAACAGTTAACATGAAGTGGCTTTTACATGGACATGATGCACTGACACTAGCTCACCAGTAAGAGTTGATGATCTTGCAGAAAGCCAGCTCACAGCACATCTTCAAGTTGCTCTGATGGTCTATCAATTCACTAGACGAACATTTGTTGGGATCTACTTCACAGTTTTCGTCTGACTCATACAGAGCTTTGATGAACTCCCCTATTAAAAGGAGAAGATGGCAGACAGCACAACTATAAATAGAATAAAAAGATTTGGGATTCCTGCCTTGTCGGGTACGACAAGGAATTCTTTTCTGAGATCTGATGTGGAAGGCACTGTCTATGAAAGGTTACTGCCACAGAACACAAGAGATACCACATCCCACACCTCACTCAGCAATCAATACGATCATCATACCACTTAGAAGCATTAACAGTGTTCCTACAGAGACTACATGGTATGTTCTATCTGATTTTGGAGATACATTTAATGACTATTAATGTTGTTTCTCACAAGGCTTTCTCTACAGGGTGACTAATGTCATTATTATAGAAAAACAGAACTCAAGCCTGACTATACAGTCTACTCAAGATTTTAAGTGCTCATGTTTATACCAAAGACAGACACAAATAAAGGTCAACTCCTAATTTGGAATAGTTATTTAACACAACACAAAACTGTAGAATATCTCTTTTGTAACCTGTATATACTTTTCTACATGCATTTAGTTAACAAGGTCTTTTCAATTATGCTGTAATCTATAAAATATGTTCAATATTCCCAGACAGACCAAATATTCGCATATCATGTTTACATTTCACTTTTCACTGTATGTATCTTGGATATGCTTGATATCGATTCCTCACTTTCTATCTTGCTTTCTGATGTTACACATTTTTAACAGTAAAAAAACTACTATCTGGCTACTGAGTGCATTTAATGGTGTGTGTCAGTAGTGAACACTGAGGTGGGAGGCAAGACTAATTCAAACTTTGATGGTAAAGGTAATATGTCAATTTGGGCAAGTCATGATTCTCAGTGGTTTGAAAGTTAGGAAAAGGTATAATGGGGCAGTAAAGCAATGATGTGGTCATTCTCCATTTTCACATAATGCCCACTGTCATATAACAACCTAGTTTTTGGAATCTAATTCAGGGGATATACTAGTCTGTGCTCCACATTGCTTTGTGTTAATTTGTTCATGTCTGTCTTATCTCTACAATGAATACTCTTGAAGGGCAGGCACCAGGTTTTATTAATGTTCAGATCTCCAGCTGCTTGAATTTCCAAAGCATTGTACATTTTCAGTAAATACTTTCAGAAATGACTGTGTGTATTCTCGATCTGTTACAAGTCTTTTTGGGAGAAGCTCTTTCAAAGATCCAGCTGAATGTTCTTGGAGTTCAGGTTTGGTAGAGAAGATTTCTGCAAAGTAAACAACAATCTATACAAAATTGCTGTTGTTGGTAGGTGCTACTGAGTCAAGTATGACTAACTGTGACTCGATGAACAACTGATCTGAACCCTGTCCTATCCTGTTCCATCCTCACAATTTCGCATACACTTGAGCTCACTCCTTCTAAAATTGTGTCAATCCATCTTGTTAAGGATCTTTCTCTCTTTTGCTGACCTTCCATCTTTCCAAGCATGCATGATGTGCCTCTCCAAAGAAAAGCCTCTCCTAACAACATACCTAAAATATGTTTTGTTAGCTCTACCTTAAAGGAGCACTCTGGGTGCAACTTTTCCAAGACAAATCTGTTTCTTGCTTTGGCAGTTCATGAGCTATTTAGTAGCCATTTCCAACACCACAGTTCAAAGGCATCAATTTTTCTTCTGCCATCCTTACTCACTGTCCAGCTCTCAGATTCATAGCAAGTTATTGAAAAGACCATGGCTTGAAACAGGTGCACCTCAGTCCTCAAACTGACACATCACTTCTCAATAATTTGGAAAGGTCCCTGACTGAATTAAGACTTTTCTTAATGCAATATGTCTCCTAAACTACTGGGTACCAAGGGTGTAGACTATGGAAGCGAGATGAAGTTGTTGACAGTGTCACTATTTTCTTCATCTATCATGATGCTGCCTACTGGTCCACTGTGATAATTTTTTGCTTTTTTTAACATTGAGATACAATCCATAGTAAAGATTGCAGTGTTTAACCTTCTATAGAAAGTGCTTCAAGTCCTTCTCACTTTCAGCAAACAGGGCTCCATTTCTCATGCTACATTCTTCTTCAAAAAGTCCAGTTTCTCAAATAATTTGCTCAGCATGCATTGAATAGATATGGAGAGAGGACACAAATCTGACACACTCTTTTCTTAATTTTAAACCATGTAGTGTTCCTTTAGTATATGAGTATTTGGTTCCCAAGAATAAAAATATTTAAAATTTGTCTCAGTAAGCAGCTTCTATGTATAAAATTAGCTTCTAAATATATATATAAAATGAAAGGAAAGAATATCAGAAGAATGTCTATTTGAGTTTTATCATAACAAATTATGGCTAACAATGAGAAGAACAGGAATTCCAGAGCAATTAATTGTGTTTATGTGAAACTTTAATACCTAGACTGTAACAGAGCAAAGGAACACTACAAAATTAGGTAGCAACAAAAACATAAAAACATAACAAAACAAAAACATAAAAAAACCTCATTAAATTAAAGCTGTTAAAATAGCTATGACAGAGGATGTGACATGTTAACTTGGAAGAAAAGTGGCTGGATAACAGGAAGCTAAGTGGTATACAGAAAAAAAGGCTTTTGAAGCCAGAAAGATTTGGGATCAAACCCTAGTTCCATCACTTACTGACTGGAATTTTGAAAACATTTAAATAGTTTGATGGTCAACTGGTAAATAGTCTGAATAATAACTGCCATGTGGAGTTGTGGTGAGGATGAGACACAGCACATGAAGGGTATATAGGCTACTGTGTCTGGTTCTAGGCAGAAGCTCAGTACAAAATATTATTAGGTATAAACTTAGCAAAAACAAACAATCTTTCATAAGAAAGATGACCAGCATAAGTAAAATGGTTTGTAAAAATATTTACCAAATCTGATTATATTTGACATTTTCTCAATGTAACCTACGTTAAGGGCTTCCAAAAAATCTATTCCATATAAAGAACAGCTAATTTTAAAACTAAGTCATTATCAATTATTTGTGTGGAAATTGGCCAAACTTTAAACTTTTCTCATAACATTATATTGAGTCCTTGAAGGTGATATCTGTTAATATCAGGAGAACAGCACTGTTATTAATAGATAATTAATAATTTTTTTTCAAGAAATCTCACCTCACTGCTGACAAGCCACAACTGGCTCCTAGATGACCTGCTAGTGGGTTTAGGCAAGCTGTCATCTCACATAAGATTGTCTATCTCTCTTCTACAGAGCTGCTGGTGGATTCAAACTGTCAGAAAGACAGCTTTTGAGTTAGCAGCACAGCTCTCTACCTCTTTTCTTCTTCTTCAAGATTAGAGTCAAATAAAGAATCCCAGGGCCTAGAAGTAAATGAACTACCCATCAAACTCAGCTTTGTGGCATCAAGTCAGTTCTGATTCACAGCCACCCTCTGTGGACCTTCAGAGGCTGTAAACTGTAATGAGAGGAGACTGCCCATCTTTCTCCACCTAGAGCGGAGAAAGTCCACGAGTGGACTTGAGCCAATGGAGAAGCCTGGTTTCTGTGCTAGCAGAACAACTTGCAATGGACTATACCACCCGAGCAGCATAACAAGTCTTCTCTGATAATTTATCTGAAATCCTACAGAATAGAAAATGTTCTGATTTTTGAAACTATAACCTACATCTGTAATGTAGAAAGCAGCCTACTGAAAGGTAAACTTAATTAAGTTTATATATAGAAGCTGCTCACCTGTTCAAACATTGAGACAAATTTTAAAATAATTTAAGATTGCTCTTTTGTCTTTGGGGAAAAAAACAAAATAGAACCAAAGAAGGTATTCACCATGTTGTTAACCTGTAAGTGCATGCCCAGAAGGTTTGTGAGGTGTTTTCTATTTAACTATTTACTCATTACTACCCAGCATAAAAATTTCACACATAGGAATAGGTCAAAGTGTATGGATTTGATACTGCTGAAATTTCCCTTTATCACCAAGGGTAGAAACCAGGTGACTGTGTACTTCTTTTCTCTGAGATGGTATTTGCATTTCACAACACATCAGGATACTATCTGATTTTAACTAGAAAGATAAAAGGGCTAACAAAAAAAAAGTCTAAACCAGGCAGCCTCATTTGGTAAATAGTAATGCTTTAATCTAGATAAGTTAAAATGATTGGCAATTTTAAACTCAATTCTGAGAATTCTTTAGGCAATCTGGAAATAGGATCTACTTTTGCCCAAAGTGTATAGAATACTGTAAAATTTTTAATTATTTAGAGTGCTCAGCTATACTTACTAATTTAATTTTTCAGTTTACTGAAACTTCTCTGTGAATTTTTACATTTAATCCTTATTACGAAATTCTTCTAAATTACATTACTAAAGACTTCTGCTACAGCAAGGGCTGGATCATATAGTGAATGACTCTTTGACAGCTGAAAAATCCGTAGTTCTTCAGGGTTAGTCTTTGACAAGTTACAAATTATTTTCTTGAGCCATATTGATACTTACCTTAATATTGATACTTAGGTAAATATTGAAACTACTATTAAATAAGTATCAATTTGCATTGACCACAGGACACAAGTGGAAAATTCTTTTAATAATAGAGTATTTGCCACAAAAGCCAAATATAAGAGGAAAAACATAAACCATTCAAAGTCTAGGATGTTAAGGCTAACTAGAAATATGAAGAGTTAAGAAGGACAAGGACAATACAGTCCCTGTCTTCAGAATGTTTTCCAATTACACTGTCTACACTTCTGTTAGCAGCAGCCACTTTTCCTTGGGTTAGAAATATTAACAGAGAACTTTGTGGATTTAGTAGAATTCCTTCCCATGTTCAATGAACTCATTTCCAAGTCCCACTGAACTAATTAGCTGCTTAACTCTTCAATGTCCTGTCAAAGAACTTATAGCCACTTTTCATTTTAGAAATTATATCCTCTGGAAAGTCTGTTCAGTTCACTGAATTACAGAATGTTAATGTTTGATTTTTCAGAAGTTAGTAGTCAATAAATATTCACTCTATGGCACAGAATGGAGAATGTGACCGGAGATGCTTCATCATTGCCTCTTAAAAGACAATGCTGTTTTCATTAGGCATTGCAGAGCTAGTTCTCATTCACAGTTAATCTAAAACACTGCCTAGTGCTCAGCCATTCTCAAAATCATTGAGAATCACAATCAGCCATGTCCCGAGTCCACTGTTGCAGCCACCATATCCCTTCATCTTATCTCAGATCTTGAGCAGTGATACATACCCATTAGTTTTATTGTGTATCCTAGAATCTAGGAACTTGGGGTTTAAGGGTAGAACACATGCTAATGGTCTTTCTGACCTTGTTGTATGTGATAATCCATTGTTCCCCCATTAGCAAGCTGCAGAGATTTCTTACAGTTGATACTCAAACCTTAACATTCTAGTCAGACAGAATGAAGTAACACAGAATTTGAACTCAGTATTCACTTGTCTTGTAAGGGTGAAATAATTTCAAATTTAAAGACAAATAAAAGAAACGTTTTCTCCTTCATACCTAATGCATCATGAAGATACTGCTGTCCCACCAATTTGAGGTATTCCTCAATGGATTTGGTGGCAATTGTATTCTCTCTGAAGATCAAGACATCATGCTCTCCACACCGATCCACCTCAGACATCACCAAATCAGTCAAAAAATCCTGTTAAAATAATGTTCAAGCAAGCAGAAAGCAACAGAATAAATATGTATTAGAAGAGATTGAGGAAATGAGAGAGCCTGAAAACACTGGTTTAAAATGAAAACTACCAAATTTATTTGAGTGAAGAAAAAGGTAGTCAGGTTAGAATTTTAGGCACGTCTCCATTCTTAAATTTAAAAGTAGTTCAAAGATTTCCCATTGTACCTTTGATGTCTCTCTGTTCTCTGACTTATGCCTATTCTATAGCTTCAATCTCACACGACTTTCTCTATACTCTGCTCCTCCTGGTCCATTTTAGGTTGTTGAATACACCAAGTCTGCTAGCCCTTTCTAACACAATGTTCTCTATTCACCACAAAGACTCCTGCATATGCTGGTCTTAGTTCTGCTGCACTCCCGCCCTCGTTCCTGCCCCCATAGTTATTAAGTTAATTCCTAAGATCCTTAAGATTGTAGTTCATAAATCATTTCCTCTGGAGCCTTCCCTGATCAACAACACCCAATGTCCCCGAGCTCCACACTAACTGTGTCATGTCTTTTCTTCTCAGTACTTTTTCCTGTAATCACATTTATTTCTATAATTACTTTATTAATGTCTGTTTTTCTAAAAAATTTTAAGCCCATAAGACCAAGGACAGTGTCAATTTTTGTTTATGACCAGTGTCTGACTGCTTCTGGCACATATTAAGTGTTCAATATATATTACAAATTGGTTCATTATATCAACATGGAATTTCTTGACCTCATCACTCAGAACTCATTTTTGAGGCTACCTGTCTAGCTAGTTATGTTCCCCTCATCCAAGCAGCCACTCATTCAGGGGAAAGGGAAGTCTAAGACATAAAGCTCTGAATAAATGGCTGCTTCATTCCCCAGCAGTCTTAAAATATTTGATGTATAACTTTAATGTTTGTTAGATTTTATTTGAAGTGGGTTATCACATATTTTTAAATATTGTATGAAATAAAATATTTCTCATCAAATTAATTCCAAGTCCTCTATTAGGTTTCAGCGGCTGTAAATCTTTATGGGAAAAGACTGCTCATCATTCTTTTGTGAAGCAGCTGGTGGAGTGGAACCACCGATTCTTTGATTAGTAGCACTAATTAATGCACTAAGCCACCAGATTTCTTTAAATATATATTTACTGGATACTCAAGCACTTAGGATGAAAAATAGAAGGCATATACCAAATTACTTGAACTTTAATCATTTTACGAATCAGTGGACTCTACAACTGGGGCAGCCCAACAGTATAGAGTTGGAGAAGTAAGAATCACTATTTCAACTCTTCTGCTCAGGGGTAGAAGAACATTTTTGATGGTGATCATAATTCATGATATTCATAATATCATGACTGTGTTAGTGGTTTCAATGGGTGCACAGTAATCTATCAAAAGTCACTGAATTGTACACTTTACAAGAGCATGTTGTTAGGTGCTGTCGAGTTGAGTATAACTCTCAGTGATCCTATAAACAGCAGATCTGAACCCTGTTCTATCCTGTACCATCTTCACATTTCCTGACACACTAGACCCCGCTGAGGCAGTCACTGTATCAATCCACTTGGTTGAGGGTCTTTCTCTCCTTCACTGACCCTTCACCCCTCCAAGCATTGTGTCTCTCTCCAAGGAATAGCCTCTCCTAGCAACATGTCCAAAGTATGTGAGATGAAGCCTCATCATCCTTGCTTTCAAAGAGCACTCTGGCTGGATCCTCTCCAAGACATATTATTTGTTCTTTTGGCCGTCCATGGATGTTCGGTGCTCTTCTCCAGTACCACAACTCAAAGGCATTAGTTCTTCTGTCATCTGTATTCGTTATCCAGCTCTCAGATGCATAGCAAGGGATTGGAAAGACTATAGCCTGAATCAGATGCACCTCAGTCCTCAAACTGACATCATTACTCCTCAATAATTTGGAGGGGTCCCTAATTGTAGACTTTCCCAGTGCAATATGTCTCCTGATATCTTGACTGCTGGTATCAAGGGTGTTAACTGTGGATCCAAGTCAGATGAAGTTGTTAATAGTTTCAATCTCTTCACCATCCACCATGATGTTGCCTCTTAGTCCAGTGGTAAGAATCTTTGTTTTGTTCCTTAAAAGGGCATAGCTTAGTATATGTAAATTGTACACTGTGATTAACAAAACTAAACAAACCAAACCAGCTGGTATTAAGATGTTTCAGATTCCTGGTAATCCCAGGGGCTGTAGAGTCAGACTACAGGCATAGGGTTTTCATGCTGGAGACTTCTCAGATGACGACTGCCATGGCTTTCCTTAGAGAATCCAGAGTGGATTCAAGTCACCAACCTTTAGGTTAGTAGCTGTTTGGTTAACCATTTACACTACCCAGAGATAAAGTGGTTAAAAGGAAAAGTCCTTTATACCTCCTGAATATTGAGCAACTAAAGAGCAATGATATCTTACTCTAAGCCATTAATGTTTTTAACACCAGAATGCTTAAACTTACCATCATTAATTTCAACCACAAAGAGTATAATCAACAAGAAGGCAGGCCAAGTTAAGTAAGAGTTTAAATAATGAACATATTGATATATTCAGATTTTAATAAAAATACTAATAGCATTTCATTTTATTGTTTGTTTGGTTCTAAATAAGTGCTTGGAAGGGTGGAGGGACAATGCAAGAGAGGAAGACCCTGGATGAGATGGATTGACTCAGGGGACTGAGGTAATGGGGTAGGTGTGTCAGAGACAATAGTGAAGTTGGCTCAAGAGAGAGGAGGGTTCAGAGCTATTGTGCACAGGGTTGCTATGAGTTGCAACATTTTAACTTCTATCGGTCTGAAATAAAATTTAAATATAAATGATGAAGACGCTGCTTAGTCAAGTAAATGTGCCTGTGGTGGTAATTAATCATATCTCAAGTTGATCAAAGACCTGATTATTCATTTGCTGTTCTGCTACAAATTTCTCCTCTTTCTGTCTTCTTGAAATTTTATTTCCATTCAGAATATGAGATAAAGTTGTCTTCAAATATCTATATATTTTGTAATGTTTTTACATATTTACAGTTTAAATATATTTTTAACCTCACGGCAGCTCTTGCTCACCATTCTCTGAATCACATTGTTCTGTGACTGGGAGATCTAAAAACAAAACATAAAATACCCCAAAACAAAAACAAACAACAAGCCCATTGCCATGGAGTGATTCCAACTCATAATGATCTAAAAGGGCAAAGCAGAACCGCTCCATAGGCTGTCCAGGGCTGTCAATCTTTTACAGAAGCAGATTGCTACATTTTTCTCCCACAGAGTGGCAAACAGATTTGATTACTAAACCTCTGGTGAACCAGTCAAGCTAACTGTACCACCAGGGCTCCTTTTGGAAGATTTAGTTACAGGCTAATTCTTAGTATAGTAATAGTTAAGTTATGGTGAACTATTATAGCTGTTGGTTGGTAAGAAACTGCTGTTGCTGTGTGTACTGTCAAGCTGGAGACAATCCATAGCTGACCCACTGGCAGGTTTTCAGCAGAAGTCAATAAATAGCATGGGAGGAGATTGCCCATCCTTCTCCCTCACAGTAGCTCGTGGATTCAAATCACGTGCCTTTGGGACTGCAGCACAGCTTCTTGCCACTAGGCTACCATAGTGCCCTATTATCATTGTTGTTGTTAAGTGCTGTCGAATCGTAGATGACTCATAGCGACCCTATGAACGAAAGACCTGAACACTATAACTTTCACTGTTTCTCCAAGTTCATAGGATTTACAGAGGCAAGATATTTATTATTATCATTACTATTACTATTATCATTACTAACTAGTCAGGTTACTAGTCAAATTATAAAGCTCTCTTGGCCTAATGGGTAGGGAGTTGTACTGCCAACCCAAAGACACATCTTCCAAATTCACTAGCTGTTCCACAGGAGAAAGATGGACATTCTCCTCTCCTGAGATTTACAGCCTCTGAAAACCCATTGAAGGACAAACTATGAGTTGGTTCCAACTCGATGACACACAACAACAGTAACAACTATTAATTTAAAAAAGTATGTAGTGCAAGGAAGAAATCCATCATATAACACATTCTAGAACTAAAGATAAAGAATCCTGAACACATTGTATGGTTATGAGGTCGATTCTACCATTTAATTTGTCAGAACATACTAAGTGGTTGTTTTTATCTTTTATGCAAATGGACTTGAAACCTTCTTTTGCCACTTACCTTGGCTCTGCCAGTACTTTGAAGAATGTGCACTAAGGCACAGGCCAACTCTTCTTTATTCCTCACACTAATTACTGGCTCGAGGACAGAACACAGCATGGTGTAGTTGCTGGTGACAAATTCTGCAAATTCTTTGTATTGCTCCATAGGCAGAATGGTGATAGTTTGGAAGCGTGACTTAATCCGGATGGAAGGCCCTCCTGCCTTGCCTTTGTTGGGTGTGGGGGTACTCACTGGGTACCACTTTTCCACAAACTGGCGACCAGTTACACTGGCAGTGGGAATGTTGACTAGTCCTATGTAATTATTCTTGTCCTTTTTTTTCTTTTTTTCCATGTCCTTGTAAATGTGAACTGTGATGCTATGTAGAGGTGGGAGGCTGTAAAACTCAAAATGTTCACCCCAGAAAATATTGTCTGCTTTGGTCTTGCTGGTTGTACGAGCAAAAAGGGTATCATCAAGGCACAGTTCACAGAAATATTTTTTTTTGGGGGCAAGGTCCTTGGCTTCAATGATCCATAAACGAAGAACATTTTCCGCTCGTCTGCAATTGTCCTATAAAGAAAGCAATAAAGTTGAATACGAGAGCTGATATCCCAGAAAACAGAACATTTCCCCCTTAACACGCTGCTGCAAATGACGGCAAATGTGGTTCTAGGCATGGCCGTCAATTAAAAAGTGTGCGGCAATGTGTTAAAGTAATCAAGCATTGGGCATTGTGGCATTGGGGAACTATAGGGCATAAGCTGTTAAGGACTTCTCCAAAATGCTAAAGAACAAGAGTATCAATTTAAAGACTAAAGTGCCTCTGAATTGTGGTGCTGTAGAAGTCCTAAATATTTCATGGACTGCCAAAAGGACAAACCAGTCTGTTTTGGAAAAAGTAAAACCAAGATGCTCCTTAGAGGCAAGGATGGTGAAACTTCATCTGACATAGTTTGGGCACCTTGTCAGGAGGGGCCAGTTGTTGAAAAAAGACATCATGCTAGAAATGGTGGAGGGTCCGAAAAAGTGAGGAAGACCCTCAACAAGATGGAATGACACAGTGACTGTGACCATGGGCTCAAGCATGGTGGACACTGTGAGGATGGCATGGGACAGGTCAAGGTTTAGATCTGTTGGTCCTTATTAGTCCTAGCCAACTTGATGGCCCTCAAAGCAACATTCCAAAAAAAGGACATTTCCCCCTTAATGTAAGTGATGCTAACTATGTAGTCCATTAAAGATGGTCAGAAAATAATGAAAAGGACTGTAATCTCATTGTTCAGGACAAAAGAAGGCTGTATGCAAGAACATACCAGAGTCTTAAAGAGCTACATACACTGTATGTTACTTGAGTTTTAAAATATAATCACTCTGTAATGATAAATTCTCATTTAGCCAGACTAATTGCAACTAACTAGCTTCTGGAAAAATATACATAAAATTAGTTAAATAGTTAAGAAACTTATGTTATAGTCCTTTTTTTAAAAAAATTATATTTTAGTGGAAGTTTACAGAAAAGTTGGATTTTCATTCATTTATTATTGCACATTTTCCTCCCTTCCCCCTCCCTCAGTATTTCTATCATGACTTAGTTTCTGACTTGGGCTTCACTGAGCTTTTTTTATCCAGACTGATAAAACAGTGATACTACTACTTGTAATAAGATTATTTTGAGCATAAAATAGTATAATATATAAAAATGCTTTTTAAACACAGTAAAGTTCTAAAAATGATTAAGACATGTTACTCTTCATAGAGTTTATCTATCTATCTATCTATCTATCTATCTATCTATCTATCTATCTATCTATCCACGCTGTAGATACTGAAAGCCATTATTACCTTATTGGGCTGAACTGTCCTGCGAAGGTTTTCCATCCACTTATCTCTTTCTGATGCAGAGTTACAGCTGAAGCATTTACTTCCACTTAAGTAGGTAACCTTCAATAAAAAGATTACAAGTAAGAAAAAAGAAAACATAAGGTAAAGGGACTTTATCTTCCTACTTTTACCATTTGGGAGTTAAGTATATGCCATGAATCCTAATCATATCACAAAATTTGTGGTTATTTGTTTGTCTACATATATATTTAGGTTTTGTTTTGTTGTCTCGGTGGCATCCATACTCATTTTAAGTATAAGAACAAAGGCAATTTAGAATTTAGCTGAGGAACCTAAAACAAGACTGTGGTTCAGAAAGAACAATATTGAAAACCTTTCAGGCTATACCTCAAATTACTCATAAATCAATAAGCTCAATTCTGAAAGAGTTGATTAAAAAATTACTAAGAGATACAGTTGACTAAGGTGCGCCTGATACAGGCCATGGCTTTTGCAATCACTTGTTATGCATCAGAAAGTTGGACAATGACTAGGGAGGATAGAAGGAGAATTGATGCCTTTGAGCTGTGGTGCTGGAGAAGAGTACTGAATGTACCATGGACTGCCAAGAAAACAAACAGATTCATCCCAGAGAGGGTTAAACCAGGCTGCTCCTTGGAGGCAAGGATTCTGGCGCTTCGTCTGACATACTCTGGACATGTTGTAAGGAGAGACAGGTCTTTAGAGAGGGACATCATGCTGGGTAGAGTAGAGGGACAGCGCAGGAGGGGAAGACCCTCTATGAGGTGGATTGATTCAGTGACTGGGGTAATCGGGATGGGTGTGTCAGAGGCAATGAGATTGGCACAGGATAGAGCACGGTTTAGCGCTGTTGTACATAGGGGTCGCTATGAGTCGCAAACGACTAGACGGCACATAACAACAAAACAACAACAAGAGGTAAAGAGATTTTTCACCTATTAGTGAAAGGCAGTCAATTTTCTTAAGACTATCTTCAACATATTATTATAGAAAGGTACTAAACAGAAGAGCTGTTGTTGTTGATTGCCATAGAGTCAAATACGACTCATCGTGACCCTATGAAAAGGCCTGAAGCCCCTCTACAACTATTGGCATTTATCAAAGAAAATAGAGTTTCCAGAGACATTCTGTTTAGGAAGTGGATGCCATTGCTGTTTCCAAAAATAGAAGAGTTACTAGCACTGAATCATTGTCTTTGGACCTCATTCCCCAATGATTAAGTAATGGTGTTGCTGATGTTCAGACTCCGATTATGTTAGCCTGATCACTATAATCACTATCCTGTAAAAAGGAAACATGCTATGTCTAACCCCAGCCCCTTATAATCACACTTAGTATACAGCGTGCTGAAGTGAGTTTCATAACTACTGGGAAGTACAAGTGATTAGTATCTTTTTAAATAAAGAATGAAAATACCAACAATAAATGATCTGTCCAGATTGTTAATGTTCATGGAGATACTAAAACCCAGTTGTTATCAAGTTGAATCCAGTACATAGACCCCTAAAGGAAGGAGAATTGCTCCCTAGGGCCTCCCCAAGGGTATTGTTGTTGTTGCTGTTGTTATGTGCCATTGAGTCATTTGCGACTCATAGCGACCCTAAGTACAACAGCCCTAAACCATGCTCTATCCTGTGCCAATCTCATTGCCTCTGACAC